TTCTACTGTGCAGAAGAACATTGTTAATATCCCCCCTTTGGGAATGGCCTAAAGACACTTCAGTCAGTAGCATTGCCCTTGTGGAGGGAGGCACCTCTTGATCACGAGAGCCCCCCCCCCCCTCCAACCCTTTCCCCTGTACATTTTGATAAATAGCAGAACCGTGTCTTTAGAAAAGGGTGCCCATACTGTACCGTGTTGTGTGTAGAGTAGAAGTAGAAGCGTTGACTGCAGATGTGCAATGCACCGAGTGACCTTGATAGACAACTTAACCATTGGCGATCAATTAAATAATAAAATTGCTAAACTAATGTACATAACATCGCTTAGATGAAAAAGATCTCAGAATTATCAGGAATTTGTAGTGGGACCAAAACGCTGCTGTACGAATTAATGGAGAATACAGTGAATATAAGCAGATTAGGCGAGGAGTGAGGCAAGGATGTGTTATGTCACCAGATCTCGTTAACATGTACAGTGAAACAATCCTTAGAAACATAGAAGAATGTCCAGGTCTCAAAGTAAATGGAGAAAAGATTAATAACATCAGGTATGCAGATGACAGTTTTGATAGCAGGCTCAGAAAAGGGCTTTCAATTGCTTCTAGATACTGTTGTAACAGAAAGTGAACGTAAGTAAAGGATTAGTGTTGAATGTAAAGAAAACAATGCATGGTAATATCCAAAAAAGCTGCAAATCCTTGTTGTAATCTCATTAGCAAAGGTAAAAAGATCAAACCAGTCCAGCAATTTAAATATCTAGGATATATGATAACATCTGATGCCTAATATTCCACAGAAATAAAACGGAGAATTACAATGACTACGTCTAGTTTCAATGAAATGAGCCCAATCCTAAAAAAATAGAAACGTCTCAATAACCACCAAAAAAATGAAAGTTCTAAAATGCTATGTATGGCCAACCCTTCTGTATATATAGATATAATATATCGCTGTGAATGTTGGACAATCACTAAAGACAATGAACATAAAATAGAAGCTACAGAAATGTGGTTTCTTACGAGACTGCTAAGAGTATCGTGGAAGCAAAAAAAATCAAATGAGGTAGTGCTTGATGAAGCCCACGTGGGACGTTCAATGTTGAGAACAATCTGGAAACGACAATTAATGCAGTTTTTGAGACACCTGAATAGACACAGGGGTCTTGAACATCTAGCTCTCACTGGCAAAATTGAAGGCAAACGAGGCAGGGATAGGCCCAGAACAACCTACTTGGGGGAACCTAAACAAATGGGTAACAGGGAAAAATCAGGGAAACGTAGCTTTTTTGAGAGCATTCGAACAAGGAATGAATGGAGAACCATGATCGCCGATGTCTGTCGCAGATCTGGCACTGGATGATGAATATCATATCAAATCAGGTCACCCCGAGCTATTCTGCTTATTTTGAGACGCTAATTCCGAATATGAAATCAATTTTAAGATGCGATAATTATGTTTTTAATTTTGCTCCTTCAGTTAAGATCTAGATCTAATCCTGCGCAGCGGCAAATTTCAAAGTGATTTTTCGTCACAGCGCGTCTCCCCCACATCTGGACGTGATCGCACGTATCAAGCAGGGCATAATTTCTCGACTCAGTCTCCATGTTTTCGTCCTAGGAAGCTCGTCCAATCGTCCAAATTTTGTACAGTTTTGTGGTTACACCCATAGAGTTACCCCTTTTGTACTATAGTGTACATCTATGGTTACACCTAACGACATGTCGTATGATCGAGAGATCGTCCACTTTTAGTCCAATTGATCTGTACGTATAACCGGGCCGTAAGACGAAGAAAGGTTGAACACAGGGCCAACATTATACTTTGTATTAGTTTCTGAATTCATTGTCATACAAGAAAGTTTCCGTGAGTTAGCGTTAAAATCTAGACTGCACGTGATAATCCAGTAGTGCGCTGTTGAACCGGTGTTTGTTGTATTTGAGCCAAGGAGATTAAAAGTAAAAAGTAGTTCTAAGCTCCTTGATTTAGGCACAATCGAATAGGGGTAGGGCATTGGGGCTGGGACACTTCATCTGCTGGGACACTTCATCTGCTGGGACACTTCATCTAGTTGTTGCGTCTGGAGCGGAAGAACAGGACAAAATAAAGAGTACATCAAGAACACATCAGTGGAAACAATAAATTCTTTCCTTTTTTTCTGTTCTCTCTAAACTTTTATCACCTTCAAGACTAGAAATAGGTTATATTAACGAATAAAACTGCCCAATCAACGCAAAGAACTAAGACTATGTGTGTGGGGGGTGGTGGTGGTGAACGTTTGGAGATGAGA